AAAAACAAAATGAAAAACATAATAATAATAATAATTATTATTTTTATTATTTTTATTACTATTATTATAATATATCTTATTTGTTGAAAGCAAAAAATATGTTATGCACTTACAGCCGGCAATCGTACAGTTTACAAAATGCATACATTCCCCATCATATCTTTGATTAATTTCTYTCAGAGTTGATTTAGACCACCATCTAAAAAACATCTGTGCGAAGACAATACTAGAATGTCCCTTCAAGGAAAATGGATGTTTAGCCCAAGTTGAACGACAACATGTCGATAAACACGTACAAGACAACATGGCTGCACACATATTTTTACTAGGGAAAAAATGTTCAGGGCTTACTAAAGAAAACCAGCTTCTAAAAGACGAATTAAAAAATGTAAAGGTAGGTCTGTTTGTGTTGACGTCCTCGGAATCGTTTAATGTTTTTTAAATTAAAACAGAGCTTACTACAAGTACATTTATCTTAATCTTTTTTTTTCATATGAAATGTGATGATATGTAGGTTTCTACAGCTTTAATGGAAATTACGTTGCATGTGTATAAGGTCTTAAGCTGAAGCTCTAGTCTTGTAACCTGGAGGTAGTTAATAAGCGTAGCTAGAAAGAGGTCCTGATACACGACTGATGTACCATCTGATCTGTTCTGTGCAGCATTGACGGGAGGAGTTTTTGGGGCATATAAGTATAGTTCTCATACTCATTAATAATTCATGATAAAACCAGTCAATCAATGGCCTATTTTTTGGTCCCATGATGTTACTAGAAACCTGGTAAAATTATGTGAAAGGACTGAATTCATTCTCTAGTAACTGGAACAAAATTAATTCAGTCCTAGTAACGAGAACAAAATTTATTCAGTCCTAGGACTGAATTAATTTTGTTCCAGTTACTCCAAGTCGAATAATTAATGAGATGAGAAGTCATTTCAAAGCCTCCAATATCGGACTGAACGGGATTTCAAGTCCGCGCAATTAATTCCATGCAGTCCTCGACTGCGCCTCGGACTGGAAATAATTGCTTGGACTTGGAATCCCGTCCAGTCCTCATTGTCGGCCTTGAATTATTACGTAATACGACTACATATTGTCCAAATAAATAAATAATTGACAAAATTGGAAGAGGCTGATAGGTGGAGTCCAATTTAGTAGTCAGAGGAATTTTTTTAGTCGAATTTTTTGAGCTGATTCAGTGTAAAGTACTTTGTAGAGTCAAATTTGGTAAGTGTTTTATGAATCCAAAATTGTATGACCTTCTCGTACAAATCGGAATTGATAGATGCTTGTGAAAGATGAATTGAACTAATATTTTGAAAATGTCCTCAGGAAAATTGTCATGCTATTTGTAGCTACACCTGGACTCTATCCAACTATCCTAACATATCCAAGAATTACTCCAATGGCTCTTTTATTCTAAGCCCAATATTCTGGTTGTATGGCTACAGATGGCGCTTCATATTGCACCCAAATGGAGACAATGAGGGGGCAACAGGATTCCTATCACTGCATCTAAAGATTGAAGAAGGTTATGATGAATGTACAGAGACCATTCCCATTACATTCAGAAACGATTCGGAAATTGCTTTCAGGTAATATTGCATTGTGTTTTAAATATTTAAATAAATACTTGCATTGTGAGCAGTTTATTTTATTCATATTTATGTTATTTTTAACAGACTGACTGTGATTAGCCAAAAGCCTGGTACTGACCGCAATGTCTCCTATGAAACAAGCAAAACATTTACCGATAAGGGAAAAATCTGGGGATGGACCAAATTCATGAAAGCGGCTGACGCACTTTCGCCATCTTATTGCAAAAATACTGTTCTAATAATTCAATGTACAATAAAGCCAGATATCCGCCATGCGGATAGCTTATAATTGGTGAAGAGCGTCGGTCTATTTTGCGGGAGATCGTGGTCAAGCCTCGGCCGGACCAACACTCAGGATCTTAAAATAACTGAGGAGAAGGTGCTGCCTTTGCAATTACATCTGCAAATGGTTAGACATTCAAGTATTCTCGGATCAGGACTTTAAACTGTAGACCCTGTATCCCAAAGTACACTTCCTATCCTGCAGAATGGGGGACATAAAAAAACCTGTTGAATTATTCGTATAAGAGTAGGGGATTGTCTCCCAGTTCAACAGCAACCTTTTTTCCGTCGTTTTTTTCGTTTTTTCGTGTTTTTCTTTTTAAAATAATAGAATATAGAATAGTGAAATCTTATATCTTTGAGTAACGTATTCATGTCTACCCAACGATGCAACAACAAAGCTAAAAATAAATAAATAAATATATATATATATATATATAAAAACAAGAATAACAACAACACAAACAAAGGCATTTTACGACTGGGCTATGTCAAAAAACGTCAAAGAGAATGGCAATAGGCGATAGCTCGACAGAAAAGAACTATGGATATAAAGACATTGAGTAATAAGCAGCAATAAAAACAAATCAAAGTTGCTGTCTACAAAATAAGCTCTATCGGTGACAGAAGTTCATGGTTGCGATATACAAAGTAAAGCCATTCTAATAACTACTATCTCCTATTTCTCTCCAACTTTTTTTGAATAGGTGCAAGCAGTGTATTCTTATAAGTACCTAGTAGTAGCTGTTGGATTTTTCCGAAATCATAGCGTGGAATGCTCGGAACTCGTTCAGCCTTCGGATATTTGTCGTAACACTACTCTCCCTAGTCTCTCTCAATCACCTAGACAAACTGAGAGCGTATTAAAAAAAGATAGAAAGAAAANAAAAAAAAAAAAAAAAAAAAAAAAAAAAAAAAAAAAAAAAGAAAGAAAAGAAAGAAAGATAAAAAAGAAAAGAATTGAGGAACTTTGATATCAATGATTTCAGCCTGGGTACCACATCGGAAGAGGCAGGTCACGTGCCACAGGCAACCCACCTCTGTTTCTGTTTAATTTTTGGGTAGATGCTATAACATCTATTTCGTGAAATACACACTTCTGTAAGGATGTTTGCACCGTGTGAACTCTTTCCAGTATATGGTTTTCTCTCTGATCCTTCACCTAATTTTAAATCGGCTCCATAAATGTACGATTTGAGTCGCTACAGGCATGCGCAAGCCAGTGAATTGTAAATGACAATGGCGTTATGATTTTTGAATTCGCAAAGTAGCTAGGTTTTATTACTCTTTTCCTGTTGTTCCCTTAACCAGTTTTTTCATTTGTCGATAAGCGGAGTTTATACGTCGGATAAAATAATGAAATATGTTTCTATATCACCAAATAATGATTCCATAAAATTATAGTTAGTAGAGGGGGGCTATACTAACTATAATTTTATGGAATCGCTATTTGGCAAACAAACAAACTTGAGAGGACTTTTTTAGAGGTTAAGTTGGTGTGCTAAATAATAAAAGTGGACAGAAAAATCAAACAAATTTATGTGTTTTTTTTTTTGCGTGTCTTTGTTGTCCTATATAACACAGCCATGCCCTATGTATAAATATTTTTTTCGATAAATAGTATGAATATTGAATGGGTAGAACTGTGGTGAAATAATGATAGATGTGTTGATCATCACAGTGAATGAGCGATCTAAGCGAACGCTGTAAAGAAAGACTTGAAAAAGTGATTTCAAGCTTCAACGGGAATCGAACCCATGACCTCCGCGATGCCGGTGCGATGCTCTACCAACTGAGCATGAAGCCAATCCTGTTGGCGAGCGGTCATTTTTTTTTTTTTACAGCGTTTTTTACAGTCTTTCTTTACAGCGTTCGCTTAGATCGCTCATTCACTGTGATGATCAACACATCTATCATAAATGTCTTTGATGAGCTTGATCTGCCGTCTCAAAATTGTACTCTTGATTCTTTTTCGCCTGTGTCTGCTGAAGATTTATCCGTCATGTGTAAGAAGCTGTTGTCCAAGTCGTGTAGCCTCGATCCCATTCCTGCTGACCTATTACGTCATAATCTTTGTTTGTTGTTGCCCATAATCTGTAACATTGTCAATCAATCGCTCTTATCTGGTACKGTTCCGTTTTGTTTTAAAACTGCAGTTCTTCGTAGCCTGTTAAAAAAACCTTCCCTAAATAAAGAAATTCTTGCCAACTATCGCCCTATTTCAAATTTAAAAATGGTCTCTAAGGTAATAGAGAAGGCTGTTGCAGTGCAACTCGACAACTACTTGTCAGCTAACTCCCTTCACGAGCCATTTCAATCTGGATATAAACGTAATCACAGTTGTGAGTCTGCTCTTCTTCGTGTTTGTAATGACATTCTTCAGTCCCTGGATAAACGTAACTGTGTTGCTATGTTGTTGCTTGATTTGTCTGCCGCCTTTGACACCGTCGACCACACTATTCTTCTACAACGTCTTCGCTCCAAATTTGGCATCTGTGGTTCTGCTCTCCAATGGTTTAAATCTTACCTGTCTGACCGCTACCAATTTGTTTCTGTTGATGGTGTATCCTCCAATTCTCTTCCTCTTAATTGTGGTGTTCCTCAAGGCTCTGTGCTTGGTCCTCTTCTTTATATTCTGTATACGTCTCCGGTTGCTGATATCCTTCGAAAGCACAAGATGTCTTTCCACCTGTATKCTGATGATTCACAAATTTACATCCCTTTCTCCTGTAATGATGACCTGTCTTTTAAAGAAACTATGAAG